CGCAACGTTGAATTATGTGCGGAGGTTGTGCAATATTGAACTGTGACTGTTGCGTAATTACGCAACAAGAAAGAAAGGAAGGAAAGAGATGTTCTTACGACACACTAAGAGAGGTGGGTCGTAACATCCTGTAAACTACACCACCTCTTGGATGTCTACAGTCCTTTTGCAATGATTTATAATTTGTTACCTCAACTTATCAAGCGTGAAAAACGGTTTCCCCGCATTCGTGAGCACCTCCGAACTTCTTCAAAAATATTTCCCGATGGCCACACTATTTTCTTGGTTCTGTTCCTACAGTTAGAGAAGAAAGGAAAGAAAGTAAGCTGTTAGTCGATTCTGATCTGGTACCAGAGTAATTTTTGTTAATAATAAATGTTTTATAATGCAGTGGGAAAACTTTTCTCATGTATATTGGCAATTTCTATGTCTTTTTTCTAATAAAAGGCATAAACAATGGCATTGAACAGGAAACTAATTCGGACAATTTAAACTAATCTATAGAAAGCTGACACCTACATTTTTTTAGAATTTCGCTTGTTTTTGGCCTGTCCCAACAGAACAAAGACCGTAAAAAAGTGTGGGTGTAGTCCCTGTTGTTAGCAATGATTCTAGACTGTATGTGCGCAATAAAATGACTATTTCACCTTGAAATTCAGTATCTATTACTAAGCTAAGCCCTCCATTAATTAATTTCTGTCTCTTTCTCTTTTCACTTTATTTCAACTTTGTGTGAGTTGGTTATCACAAATAATAGGAGAATGATGTATTTCATTTCTCTTGTCTTGTTCCATATTTATTGTTCATTAGTAACTGGCCAAAGTAAGACTAGCAGGACACCTGGACTTTATAAGTAATTTATCAGTTCGATCTCACTCTAGAAAGAAAACGAGTTGTGAGTTTAGTCGAAGCTTGGTTTTTTTCCTTCACCGCACATCTACTTACTACAAACGTAGCTTTGCATAGTTTCAGTTTTTTTCTTGTGTGTAGCTGAAAAACGTCTATATTATTGTAATTTTGATAATTGGAATGACCAATGTTTTACGTCAATGATTTCAACTCAAACCGGTCAAGTGACTTTAGGCAACAATCCACCGATTCTCCCATCATCAGATGTTACATCGATCAGTAAGTACTTTTCTCTGCTTCTTCTACATACGAATTGTTTCATATTTTAGCCACCAACACGAATAGTGATGAATTATGTCAACTGCCCTATAGAACTGCACTGGATTCAACATTTGATATGTATTTTTGTCATAGAATTGGACCAAGACCATTTTATTGTCCAACTCAGAGTGGAAAAAATGGAACATGTAATTTGGGTATGTTCTTGATTTGAAACTATTCAAAGGTCCTTTTTCAAGAATTATTGTTCGTATGCTCACTAATCATCTTAGAACGTTTTACAAACTATATTTATCTTTTAGAGGATGGTGAATTTCTTCAGCTTTACCTTTGATTCCTTTACGTGAAATTTTTTGCAGAACTCTTATTGTGAAAACCTCCTAGGACTTGTGTGTTTTCCGAAGGAAAAGGAGGTTTGAAGTATAAAGTTTACATACGTGGATTTTTGTGGGTTTTTTTGTCAGTAGCTGTCAACTTTTGGGGTGAAATTGTGATATTGATCAAATTTTAATATAAATTTGGTGTTTACAGCTACTGATTCGACTAATAACAGACAGACATTATTGATCTGATGCTGTTGGACGCATGCTTTGAAAATTATTAACATATCTCTGCATATCAACAGAAACAAAAGCTATTAATTAGCCGTTTCTCTCGCACGCTAGTATTCTTATTTAACTTCTTCTATTTATACATCTTCTGTGTTATAGTCCAACAGTTCAATAGGAAGTTTTCACATTTTTGCTTCGTAGAAGCAACCCTGACAAGCTTCTTTTCTGGATTTTGTAAGAGTAAAGATTTCAATCATTTTACTAGGCGTTTGTACCCTCTGCCCGTTCCAACACGCATGTCTGTGAAACTTTCACGCCAAAAAACTTTCCTTTGTTTTTTTGTGAAACATCTAGCATCTAAAAAGTAAAATAATACTAAACGTTTTTTGATCGAGCTCTGTTGGAAGTCCATTGTTTCTTTTAGATTCGATGTGTATTGAGATCTAGAATATAAAAAAAGTTTTGATTCTTTGCCGAGCATTCATAAAGTCCTTTTTTTGAACGATCCTTGGCTTTTCAGCAAAATACTTTTACAATTATATATAAAATAGAAAAAGAAGAGTGATTACAAAAATCCATAGTTTCGCCAGGAATGTCTGCGATGCTCTTAGGAATCCTTGTTTTAACTAATGACAGAAATATGGAAGATTTGGTAAAAATTAAGCTTAGGCTATTAAAGCTTACATCATTGTTTTTTCTTAGGTCGTTTTGCCTATGTTCCAATGAGTGTAACTCAAGATATTACATCCTATGAGTTAGCTGTACAATATGGAATTATCGGTATTCAACGTCTTTCATACTACTATTATTTTACAAATCCTGAAAGTGATGCCAGTATAACTGTGCAGTTGGAAACCAAGGGAGGAAATAGATCAATTATTGACATTGTGACCAGCCATCAGCAGTTCTATAACGGGTGGATTAGACATGAACAAACATTTACTTCAGCAGTACCAGCATACAAAGTAAATATCGAACTTTTCTCATAGATGCTCGGTGCAACTATCCGATTGTTCTTTTAGCTTAAGTTTGAGATGAAACTTTTAAACGGCACGGGATTGTTTTACATTGCTTTAGACGAAATATCCATAACAAGTGGCAATTTTAGTAAGTAGAGGACAGCCTTGTAAAAAAACTGTAAACTCTTTATGGCGCATTTTCCCGTTTTTCAGAAAATTTTTTAAGTTGGGGAAAAGTTTGATACAATACAGAGGCTATCGTTCATACTTCATCACCGTCTTCCTTTCATTCAGAAGTTATTCGATCTGAAAACTTTCATTCCACATCACCTTGAACTTTTTTCATTGATTATAATTTTTTACTTAAATCACCTACATCAGTAATAATGTTATTTATTGTATTTATTTGCTTATTAACAGTTATTTTACATTCACATAATTCAATATTTAGATCTTGAAATATCGACAACAGAAACAACGCCGACCATGGCAACAGAAACAACGTCTACCTTAACAATAGAAACAACACCGACCTTGACAACAGAAACAACATCGACATTGATAACAGAAACAACGCCCACCTTAACAATAGAAACAACGCCCATCGTAACAACAGAAACAACGTCAACATTGATAAC